TCACAGCACTCAGGAAGCTGAGGCAAGAGGATCACTACAAGTTCGAGGCCATCCCGGAATATTAGTGAGCTCGAGGCCTGCTAAACTGCATAGCAAGACTCTGTCTCAAAAATAAAAAGTACAAATGACCAATATGTACATGAAACAAGTTCAGCATTTTTATCCATTAGAAAATGCAAACCAAAGCAAAATTTTATGTTACTCCAGAAAGAATGGCTATCATCAAAGACTCAAAAAAAAAAAAAAACAAATGCTGGCAACATTATGGGGAAAGAGGAACTCTTCTTACAATCAGTATGGAAATCAATATGGAGATTCCTCAAAAACTTAAAAGTAGATGTCCCATTTGACACATCTTTTTAAAAGAGTTAAAGAAGTGATACATGCATATCATGTTTATAGCAACACAATTCATGACAGCCAAATTGTGAAAGGAGTCTATTTGCCCATCAACAGATGAATAAAGAAAATGCAATATAACTCAGCAAAAAAGATAGCCTTGAGCCATTTGAAGGAAAATAAATATAAGCATCTTGAGACCACAATGCTAAATGACATAATTAGACACAGAAGGTCAAATATTACAGTTTCTCGTATATGACAAACCCAAAATAAAATTCATAGAGAAAAATTAAAGAGAGATGATAGAAAATAAGGAGGTAGACTTTGTGGAGACAAGAAAGGGACCTAGGGTCGGGAGAGAGAGTAAAGTAACAAGGGGAAGTGGAAGTAAAAATGTGATGTGATATGTGTATGTATCAACTCCTCAAGATGAATATAATTAATATGTATTACAAACATATACTAATAACAAGTAACTAAAGAACAGCTTGTAACTAAGCATGGTGGCACACACCTGAAATCCCAGAACTCTGGAAGGCTGAGACAGGAAGACCACAACTTCAAGCCCAGCCCAAGAAGCTCTTTCAGACTCTGTCTCAAAATAAAATTTTTTTCAAAATTTTAAAGGCCTGGGAATGTAGTTCAGTGTGAAGGCTCTGAGTTTAATACCCAGTGCGCGGGTTGAGGGGAGGGGGAATTGGGGGAAAAGAACAGTGTGTACTTTTGATCTAGTATGCATACTTTCAAAAATATCTTCTAAAAAGTCATCTAGAATGCATACAAAAATTTACACATAAGGACATTTATGGTGATGTACTAGAGGGAAAATACAAAATTTCAAAATACAAATAAGTGGTTAAAAATATAAAAAATTGGGGGTATATCTCAGGGGTAGAGCATTTGACTGAAAATACAGAAAATATATTCAATGGAACAAGCATAAGGATGACCTTCACAGTCAGCAGGTTAACAGACTAACAATCTGGAAAATTATTTTGAAGTTTTATATTCGAAACTCTCTTTACCTTGGTACTTCTTTTTCCTCCCTGACAACTCTCTGACCTTACTCTGAGTCCCCTGACATCTATTTCAGTAGGAGTAGGTCACTAGCTCACAGCAGCTGAAAAAATCTGATCACAAAACCAGTCTCCCCAGTCCCATACTGAAGAGAATCGACTGGCCTCGGGAGCCATTTATCATGAGTTTACAAGCTGAAAAAGAATTTTTTTTCAAATTGTGTATTATTCTCTTTGCAGTTTTCTGAAGGACAGTTATTAGATTAAAAAATCTAACTTAAGTAAAGAAGCATTCCTAGCACTCTGGGAGGCTGAGGCAGGAAGACTGAAAGTTTGAGTCCATCTGGGCAACTTAGCAACTTAGGGAGACCCTCTCAGAAACAGGGGGGAGCAAGGTAAGCAGTGATGGCAAACCTTTAAGGGATAAGTGCCAAAACTGCAACTCAAAACCCACTTATTTATCACAAAGTGCCAACACTGCCATTAAATCTGAATACTGAAATTTTAGTTTAGAAAAAACAACTACATTAACATCTTTTATCTTAAAATAAAAACAACATGGGTGCCATAGGTTTGTCACATACCCTGAGCTAGGCAATGTAGCCTTGGGTTTAATCCCCAGGAAGGAAGGAAGGAAGGAAGGAAGGAAGGAAGGAAGGAAGGAAGGAAGGAAATGAAATGAAAGGAAAGGAAAGGAAAGGATAAAAGGAAGAAAGGAAGAAAAAAAACAAAGAAACATTTTAAATGCTAAAATGAACTTAAAAAACAAAGGACTATGTGAAAACATGAATATGTCTTGATACCACTTAAGAAATCAAATTCTACAGCAGAGAAGAAATTGAGAAGGGGTTCATGAGTGAGTGTAATCAATATTACAATTTAAAGCCCAAAGAAGAATTATTATGACAAGTAGAAAACATTGCGTATGCAAGGAAACTTTTTATTATTTCAAACATTTTATGTTTTAAAAAGTAAAACTAGCTAAGAAATTTATTCTCATTATCATAAATTTTGGCACAATATAAGGATAGAAAAGAAAGGATCATCAAATTTGAAGAATGTACAACTGAAGAACAATTTAAAGAAATTGAATTATCTAATTTCTGGTTTAAAGTGAGAAAGGTTTTCCTTCAATGGGAGGAAAAGCAGCAACTGTCCTTCTGCAACTTACTACCCCATACTCGTGCAACAACATTTCTCACTGATGAGAAACAGCTGATTGTGCTGTCGGCTTTTTCAGGGCTGAGAATTTTTCAAGACTCTAGAGAGGAGTCGGGTGAGTGTCCTTGCGTGAAGTCCCTGGAATCCTAGAGAAAGCTCTGGATCTGAAGAGCAGATGGAACAATTCTTAGAATCGTTTATTTAGCTGCTCCAAACACATCAATATTTAAGGATATAAATATTGTTGTTTCTGCCTTAATGAACCTTATAAAGAAGACATACGACCACCGGAGCAAGTAATGAACTCTCATCAATTCAGCCCCACTGAGTATCTATCTAAAATAAATCCATTTGCAAACCTCAGCACTAGGAAGAGAGACAAAAACTGAATTCAGACCTTATAATAAGAGGATTGGCAGTGAGCCTTTATAAACTCAAGTCCATTTCTTTTGTTATTTGACCTAAAAAGCCATCAGATTGTCTTCATTATAATGATGCACATTTGTATGTATGAGAGCTATAATTCATTGACTCTCAAATCTCTTTTCCTCAGAGTCAGTTTAAAACAATTAGGATTTGCAAGCTGTTCCATAAAAGATAAGCACCCAGCACCGGGATGATATTTCACAAAGACTGACTAGCGCATGTTAAGTAGTTGATTGTTGCTACAGCATCCAACTGCCTCAGCAGTCCTTTATTCAAGACAACTGTCCTCAAAAAAGACGTTCAAGGTAATGAGGTTGATATTTAAAGGGGAAATGGACAATGTATTTTAAGTTTAATCATAAACCAAGCAAAATCAAAATTTACAATGCATCTCACTAATCAATAGCTGTAGAACCTGAGAACTTTGTCTCATACTTCAAGCAAAAAAGTCAACAAGCCCGCAAAACATTAGCACATAAGAATAATTATCAGCTGTGCTTGTCTTCTTCACATCCAGGCTGTGGTTTTGTTGTTTTTTTTTTTAATATATAAAATGGAGTACTACTCAGCCATAAAATATGAGAAAATACAGACATTTATAGCTAAATGGATGCACATTGAGGTGATACTCTTAAGTGAAATAAATAGGACACGTGTAAATACCAAATAATAACTGCATCTCTTCAAACTTTTCCAGTACATTCCAAGAAGCTCTAACTCGACCATCCGGTCCCACACAGTCCTGTTAAGCTGATGAATAACGAACACCATAGGAAACAGAATCAAAGAGCCACTTAAGCAGATTCATTCACTCATCATTTACTTGTTACTACATTAGAAATAAGAGATGAAAATAAGCAAGTCACAGACTTGATAGCAGGTAAAGATTTGTAAGAGTATCACCTATGGTGAGCTGAGCAACAAAATAAACTCCAGAACACCTTGAAGGATGAGAAGTGTGAAGATGGTTAAGGCAAGGAAATAGGATCCAGTTAATAACTATTTCAGAGAAGCTAAGGGTTCAAATAAACATCTGTATCCTCCCACCAGAGCATATCTGCTGTCATCTGATTTTTATGCTGTGGTTTCATATAGCATGGAGAGGCTTTTAAAAGAATTCTACTACTATCAAAAGAGAAAAAAATTTAAAAACCACTACTATAAAGGTAAAAACAACACTAAAGACTCTTGAGTGGTTGAATGGGACATGACATTGCAATAAACATCAACAGAGACACCAGGTTGGCAATTACAAATGCTGGCAAGGCTGCAGGGAAAAAGGAACCCTGTTCCACCGCTGGTAGGAGTGTAGACTGGTGCAACCACTGCGGAAATCAGTATGGAGACACCTCAAAGAAGTAGGATTGGAAGCCCCATTTGACCCAGGTGGATATCTTCCCAAAAGAATTAAAAGAATCATACCACAGTGATATATGTGCACCTATGTTCATAGCAGCACAATTTATAATAGCTAAAACTTGGAAACAGCCCAAATGGCCATCAACTGGAGACTAAAGAAAATGTGGGTTTTTTTTTTTTATAAAATGGGGTACTACTCAGTCATAAAATATGAGAAACTAGAGTCATTTAGAGCTAAATGGATGCACACTGAGACAATACTCTTAAGCGAAATAAAAAGGACACATGCGTAAATACCAAACAGTTTCTCTGGTGTGAGAAACTGAAAGTATAAATAGGATCAAAAGGTATAATAGATAATGTAAAATAGGAAGAAAGGGTGCAAAGGAGAAGGAGTAGTAGGAGGGATAGGGGAAAGGAAAGATGGGAATGGAATTAATACGAGAAAAGGTAAAAATGGAAACAGTCTTTGTAGATAAGGAGGGGTGGAGGGGTTGAAGGGAAGACAGGGGAATGGGGGAAAAAATAAGAACCAAGACGGATTATATAAAGGTACAAATTTCCAAAGATGAATGTCATTATACTGCATACCTAAAATGTAACAATAAAATTATTTAAAAAAACAGAGGGAGAGATACGGTGTTGGAGGCTACCTCAGTGTTAGAGGAATACCTGAGGCAGGGGTGGCGAACCTACCTTCCGCAATGTGGAGGGCTAACAGTTTGTATCAGTGAAAGCTCTAAAAGATTCCCCTTCACTGACGTAAGGCAATGGCCATGCAGATGAAGAATCACAGAGGTGAATTACAGGTGTGGTCAAGACAGAGGACACTGCACAACCTGCAATATACATCGCATAAATCAGCCCACAACTTTCATTTTAACGCCCTTTTTAGTAAAATCATGAGAATATAAGTGAGACAATACTACTTGCTTGCATTTGTAGAAAAGTATAATAATGTTCAATTACATTAAAGTAAGAATTGCTATCTATTTACAGTACTCTATGACTAATCCCTACATCAAATGTCTTACGTGTAATGGCTCATTTAATCCTCACAATACTATCAACCACATTTTACAGAAAACAAAACTAAAGTTTACAGAAGTAAAGTAACTTAATAACTGTCAAGATGTCTATGTCCAAAGCCTAGCCTTTTAATTACTATGCTATTTCATATAAATGTTAGTCAAGGGAAGGCAGATAAAAATAAAAATAAACAGGTCTAGGTCTTGGAAGTTTCCAGTACCGTTTTTTCATGATAAAGAGCACCTAAAGAAATTCATGATCAATATCCTAGCATTACAAAAGATTTTCAAGGATAAGAAAAAGACAATGAGGTGAACAAGGTCGAAAGGTTTAAGGTAATGAATAGCATAGGTAGGGTGAGTAGTTAAAGGGCAAGAAAACTGGCAAGAAGAAAATAATATATTGGCAGGAATAAGTCAGTACCTTTCATTAAAGTGGTCTCGATTCCCAAATCAAAAGGCACAGATCGGCAGAATACATCAAAAAATAAAATCTAAAATTACACTGTACACAGAAATACATTTGATCTAAAATGAAATTCATAAACTAAAAATCAAAAGATGGAAAACTATTCCATGCAACAAGAACCTGAAAACAAGCAGGAGTAGCTAACCTATTTTAAGACATAGAGGCCTTTAAGCCAAACTGATCAAAAGAAGCAAAGGTTACTTACTATATATTAGTTAAGGGAACACTTCAACAGGAAGAGGTACCAATTATAAATATGTGCACAGAACAACAGCACACTCAACTTCATAAAACAAACACAACTGGACATAAAAGGTTAGATAAACATCAACACAACTAGAGCAGAAAACCTCAATACCCCACTGTCCCAAACAGATCAACAAGGTTAAAAAATCAACAAAGAAAATCAACAAATACCAGTTGAACCAAACCTTTGAATAAATGGACTTATTATCTAGAGTGTCCTACCCAAAGACAGAATACACACTCTTCTCAGCAGCACATGGAACTTCCCCCAAAATAGACCACATACTAGCCATTAAAGCATGCTTTCATAAATGCAAAAGAACTGCAATTATACGATCCATGTTACCAGATCATAGCACAATAAAACTAGAAATCTATGGCAAAAGAAACCACAGAAGTATGCAAACATACGGAAATTAAATAAGACATTCTTGAATAATCAATAGGTCCCAGAAGAAATCAAGGAAAAGGTATTAGTTTCTAGAATTAAACAATAATGCCAGAAGTTATTGGATACAATCAAAGCAGCCTCAGGAGGGAAGTTTATAGCTATAAATTCCCACATCAGAAAAACAGAGCAAGGCCAAATAATCTAATGATGCACCTCAAGATCCTAGAAAAACAAGTAGCATAAAAGAATTCAAAAGAAGGAGAAAAAGAGAAGAGAAGAATGATGGTAGTGGTTATTATGGTAAAAGCTGAAATAAATAGCAATGTTGGTCACGAACACTTATATAGCCTTCCCTGTGCCAAGCTTGTTCTAAGCACTACACATATTAGCTAATTCAATACGAACAACAGTCCTGCAAAGTAATATTTGTCATTCACTTTATAGGCAAGCAAACAGCATCTGAAAGTTAATGTGGCTGAACTCACAGCTACGATGAAATAGGAATGCTTTTTTTCACATATGTGCACAGGTAGCACACAAGCATGGACACACATGTGCAATGCACACACGCACACACACCCACACACACACACACCACAGATTTCTTTTGTGGGAGGAAATCTAGCAGGCTGCTCCCCCTGCTGGTTTTGTTTCCCCTTCATGAGCACTCCATCCTGGTTAGCGCTTCCAGTTGAAAAGGCAGAATCACTTGGTTCAGGGCCACCTAAGCAGGAAGTGTGCAGCCATACATATTTTCTAGAAAAGGCTGTACAGCATATAAAATAAGTGCTCATTCAGATATGGAGGGAAAAGCCAATAGCTACTCAGATGATTATACATGTGTCAAAAGTCAATACAGTTTTTCAAAAATAAAGTTACTTAATAACCCCCTCCTTGCCTTACAACAGAATGACAGATATTTTAGACTCATATACCCACAACACTTCTAAAATAAATGAGGCAGTTGAAAAAAAAAAGTAAAACAGATCAAAATTAAAAGCCACAAAAATTCAAGAAAAGAAAGCAATATCCAGAGAAATGGTTGTTACCAAACCTCTGAGATGAAGTTATTACTTGGGTTGAGCATTAGAATTAGACTCTTGCATTTGCTAACAGATTTAAAATAAATATTATAATATCTATAAAATATCAGACAAGAATTAAGTCCTTTTAGGCTGTAAATAACCTCTCCTAATTACCCAAAGTGCCCACAGCAAACAAGAGGTCAGCTTGGAAAAGGATGGAGTTAGATCCCCAAGCTTCTGGTACTACTGTGTTTTAGTCACCCAGTGAAAACTGGACAACCTAAAGAACAAACCCAGCCAACCTTGTTTTTTTGTTGTTGTTGTTGTTCTTGCTTTAAGTAATGCTATTTTAAAACTTGAATCTGAAAACAGGGAAACTTCACTTGCAAATTCTGATTTCTACCTTTTTTTGAAAATCCCCATACCATGGCTGGATATGAATTTTCCCAAAACAACAAGGATATAAATAGTGTGTCCTACAGTGGGGCATTCATCTTCCTGTTTTCCCCAATCCCAAGCAGGCCTGCTTCACACAGTGTGCTAAATGACTGGTTCCACTTAGTAGCTGAATATGCCATTCTATTCTGGATAAAGAACTAAGAAAGGAAATTTACTAGAATTACTTCCCAGGTGAAAACAGGTAGTCAACTGGGAAGACTTATCTGGTGTTAACTGCATGAAAGATACTGTACGTTCCCCTCCAGATCACAAGGGAAATTAAGTAAGACAGAATGGAAAGGAAGATACTCTGACAGAGCTTCCACATTAGTCATGCCCATCAACTGTAAAGCCCGAATAAAATATTGCTACTGAGCAAAATTTTAAGCAAACTATCCAGAAAGTAAAAAGGGTAATGCATTGCATAATTTGACCTGAATCCTTCACCCCTTCCTGTATACACTGCCTTAGGCCCCAAACTGGGTTCAGCTATCTGACTTGCTTGTTAAACAGGATTATAGTTGACGTGGCCAAAGTAGAGGCTTGACATGAGTAAATCAGTGAAACTTAACTTTCCTGTGACTCTTCTATCTCTTCCAACTTGCTCTCCTGAAACACTTTCTGCCTGTGAGGACAAGCTCAGGCTGGATACCCCATGCCTTCCAGCTTGGAACAGCAGGCCAGCCAAATCACCTCAGATTATGTGAGCAAGTCTAACCATGAAAAGCAGATGGCGTATCTGACACATCATCCAAGTTATTAAACATTTTTTGTATTCCTTTAATGCTTTATTTGTTATACAGCAAACCCTAATTAACCATTTCATCTGGTTCCGAAAACAGTTGGTTTGCTAAAGTTTTCTTTCAACCCTACTCTCCATGAGAAGGCATGTGGGTTTCAGAGTGCAAATATATGTGATAGTGTTCTAAAGACTGACGAAAAAGGGCAAATCCAACTTAATATACAAAAAGTAAGCATAAGCATAAAGATTGATATTAACACGTGATGGGCTAACAATTTTTGAGGAAAAAAAATTCAAGGCAATTTTAATAGCAGTTAGGGCTATTTATCTGTTCCCCATAACAATTTCAATTTTGCATAGGAAACAAGCTACTTCTCAAGTGTATTGTAAAATATACTTGTTTTTCTCCCTGTAATTTTTAAGGAAAATAGAAACTTTGTGACTTTCCTAGTGAACAAAACAACACTGGCAGTTTTAAGAAAGGAAAATATTTCTCAATGCCATTTCTACCTTAAATTTACATATAGCTTTATAGTTTACGCAGCATTTTTATTATCATTTTCTCATCTGATTTTTATTTCAATCCTATAAAACTGATATTATTACAACTATTTTTGCTACTAAGAAAATAAGGTTTGCATAAAGTTCCTGGCCAAGACTGCTTTGCTAAAAACTTGCCATAATAGAACTACAAACCAAATCTTGTATCTGTAAGCTAGTGCCTTTTTCCACTATATTCTCAGATGTAAAAGAATTATGTTCATTCCAAATACATCACAGAAATGTTTGTTTTGTCCTTCCCTTATTTCTCATGATTCATCTCCCTCCCTCTCCTCTCTCTTTCTCTCTCTCTCTCTCTCTCTCTCTCTCTGGAAATGTATTTAAGACCAGAGCAATCCCTATGTATTTACTTAGAACTGAAGGTCTGTATAATAAATTCAATATGAATTGTTAAATATGTAAATATAAATCCATCTTTCTACAGCTATTTTAAGATGTCTTCAAAATAATCCTTTTTCTTGTTAAGAATAATTACAACCTCTTTCAGACAGAAAAAGGTTTCCCATATTTTCAGAAACCATATTCTAAAATCTTAATTTAAAAAAAAAATGAATATCATCTCTTCGGAATACAAGAAATACAAGAACACACACATGTATTTTTTAGTGTTCTTTTCCCCCATTTTTCCCTCAATCTTTACATTTCTTTCTTCCCTCACTCTCGTTTTTACCTTATACCTTTACATCTTTCCCTCAATTCTTTGGAATAAAAAATCAGAGCAATTTTCTTGTACATATTAACTTATTTATTGAAGAGGCCTATATTTATTACTCTTAATTTTTAAAGTAGACAAGTACAATGATTTGTATATTTTTTAAAACATAATAAAAAACTTCTAAATTTTAAAAAGGCTTACCCTTGACTGCACCACAAACTCTTCCCAGAATGTTTTAAATGTATAAATTAAAATTTAAAATACATAGAATTAGAAAGAAATCTCACAATAATGAAATGCAGTTCAATATCATTTAAAACCAAAGATATATATGTATATTGCATTTCATTAAAACCAAAGATAGATAGATAGATAGATAGATCTTTGGTTTTAAATAATATTATGTAATATCATTACATATATATTACATATAATATATATTATATATAGAATAAATATATGTTCATATATATTATATAATGTATTAATATATTACACTATTAATATATATTATATAATATTATTTTATATATTATATATAAAAATAAATATATATATATATGTGTGTGTGTGTATGTATGTATGGCTGAATTTCTTGAAGTACATGGAATGGAACTCAATTAACAACTCAACTGTAAATACCTTCAAAAGCAACACTGTTGAATTCCAAATGCTCTACCATCATGGATAATTGTATAACAATCCTACAAGCTAGGTACCATGGCTATTGAAATATACACGAGAAATAAAGCCTAGAGCAGTGGTGGCAAATCTAGGGCAGGCGTGCTGCAGCAGCCTGTTTGTTATGACTGAAAGCACTAAAAGGTTTGCCATCACTAGCCTAAGGAAGATGTTCAACCTCACATAGCTACCAAGTGGCAGGGCTGACTCTTCAGTCTCTCTCCAAAGCCCAGGTTCCTGACTTCTCATTTCCATTGGCAGCACTCATAATTCAGGACTCTTCTTGACTTACGCCTAGTCATTGAGATGGCTCTGAGTGTTTCCTGTCTATTAGGGTTTGGGTCTAGATGTCACCCCAAAGCCTCATGTGGTCATAGGCTTGACCTACAGTGTGTGAAGCTGGAATTGATTCATGACGCAATGCTAGTCTCAAGGGCACTAGAATTAAGGGTATGAGTGCTACCTGCCCTAAGTGGTCTGAATAAGATAAGGGACAGGGAGACGCTGTTAACACTGTCTTGGTACCTTTGCTGCCTTGTGTGTGCACCGTTTTGTTTCTGTTCTGCAGTGTTTGTTTGCCATCCCAGCCTCAGAGCCCGCCAATTATGGACTGAAACCACTACAAACCGTAAGCCAAATAAACCCCTTCCCCTCTAATTTTGGATGTTGGGTATTTTGTCTCAACAACGAGAGAAAAGTAACTAACACACTTTCACTGACACTGTACTGTCTAGGTTTCTGAATTCACAATTCAAGAAGCCAGTGAACCACCCTTATCTTCAAAATCAAACTACATGGCCTGTATTCTGCTGTGACACCAGCTATTCTTCTATTGCCACCTCTCAGTAATATCAGAATGCCTTCTCCTGTCTACTATTACCTCCCATTTAAATGTGTCTTATCCTTGCAAACATAGATTAAATAATACAAACTCAGTGAAGGGCTCCAGAAATGAATTTCCTCCCTCTGCATTTTTATAGCTCCATAACTGTAGGAAGACACTAATTAAATGTATCCATGAAATATAATTATTTATTCCATGGAATTTTTGGTTTCAGTTCCCCAATCAATGTCACACACATCTCCCCTGCAGGCCTATACTGCACTTATCACCTACAACATTCTTGTCACTTTTTCCCTTGATCCCTTTTTCCTACTTTTCCTTCCTATCTAAGTTCAGAGGAGACTTCCCCTAGAAATCCTTCCCCCGCTGCCCTACTATAACTCTGGGTCAGATACTCTCTGCTGAATTCCCACATGGACACAACCTCATCACAGGACACGGACTGATCATTGGCTGTTTAACTGCCTGTTTACCCACTAGACTCTAGATCTCATGAGAAACTACTTATTTTATTCATGGTCTCCGATGGTTTGGATGTAGTTGGTCCTCCACAGAAGTACAGGCAAGAAGCTTGGTGCTCAGTGTAGTGATGTGCAGCGGTGGGAAACCTTTCAGAGGCAGGGAATAATAAAAATGGACTAAGACACAGTCACATTGCAACATCCAGAACAGTGCCTGGCATGTAAATGGAACATTCTTAAGTGAATTTACAACTAAACTATTATCCTGTCTGATTAATCCAGAAACAAATTTCAAGGTGCCAGGCTTTACAAATAGCAAGTACTAATTAAATAATTGTTGCATGAAGAAATTCTCTTCACAAATAGCCTAGACTAATTATCTTAAGTCTTCAAACAATATGGATTGAGTTGCAAAAGAGTATAAATATGAATACATAATAACATCTCTTGTAAGGTAAATGAGGTAAACATTTCAAATCATATTTTAAAACCTATTAATGACGACATCAAACCTAAGAATTTACTTCAGTTATTGTGAGCCATTTTAATTTACGTCCATAACTATCTGCATTCCTGTTTTTCTGTAATATAAAGGTAAATAAATTCCAAATTACCCAGGCTTTTTATCATTTGGCTCTCTTCTCTGTATTGTTTCTATGTACCAATCGCTACTCAGAGGCAAGCCATGATTACCACTTGAAAGCCTTCACTTTCCTAAAACTGAGATTTTTCTACTTTCTATCATCTATAAAACTATTTATCCTTTAAAATAATAATCACAGGGACAGGGGATGCAGCTCAGTGACAGCAATCAATCAGTCGAGAGTATGTGTGACCCTGAATTCAATCCCCAATACTGTAAAAAAAAATTAAATATATTAATCATAGTTTATTTCTCCTACAATGACTCTATTTGTTCAAAAAAGAATAGCTCAGGCTCAGCTTTAACTCACCCCTCTATTCATCTGTGGGCTTAAATATTCACAAGTACTCACTCATCCATGCGTAAGAGCCTATCTCATGAAAAATCTTGTACACAGAGTAGACTCTACTGTTCATAAGCAAAGTAGATTCACATTACCACAAATACTTTAATCTCCCAAATGCTTCAAGTACTGTACGAGCATTGTATGGACCTGTGTGAAGGGCAATATGAATTTCAGAGATACACATATATGTAAAGGCTTGGTAAGTCTTAAAGTTATTCATAACACCTAATACCAAAGTTTAATACTAAAAGAAATTTGATCCCTGATACCAAAAAAAAAAACTAAAGGAAAACCTCAGGAAACATTTACAGTATACGGGAAGAAAAGGATTAATCAGCTCTTTTTAAAAGCACTAGAAAAAGAACAGTTTTGTGGTGAAAGGAACAAAGGATATATAAACAGGCAATTTATAGAATACAAATGGTCCTGAGAAATGCATAAATATATTCTATATCTCTAAAGAACTACAAATTAAAATAAAATTATATTTCTTACACAGATGAAATCAAAGCTCTCATCCTTTGGCAAGAGCATACCTCATAGAAGTATTAGCTATAAAAATTAGGACATCTTTTCTGGAGAATAACTTGACAGTACAAGTGAAAATAAGTAACGTGCATATGCTATGACTCAGAAATTCTAGTTCTGTGAACATTATCCTAGGGAAACAAAAGGAAATAACATCTGTTATGTGTATGCATGTAAGAATTTCAGTACAGAATTATTATTAAAGAAAAAAACACAAATCAAATGATAAGCCATACTTTAAATGCACCTAATCACCAGACTATTATGTAGCAGTTAAAACAGACAAAGCAGAATTTTGGGGGGGTTTTTGTTTTGTTTTGTTTTTTGAGACAAGATCTTACAATGTAGTTTAGGCTGACCTAGAACTCACTATGTAACCCAGGCTGGCCTCAAATCTGTGGCAATCCTCCTGCCTCAGCCTCCCAAGTGCTGGGATTATAGGCATGTGCCACCAAGAGTAGAATTTTATGTACTGACATGTAATGATACATTGTTATAAAAAAGAAAAATGTACTATAAGATAGTATGGCTATATTATCATCACTTCATATTACAATCAGCCCAGCGACATTGCTACAGAGATAACTATGATACCTTCAAATGTGCCAACACTGTATATATGAGATTTTCTGAAATACATTATCCTACTAAGCCCCTCCAGCTCTAAAATTCTTTAATTCTAAGAATTTTACACATGAGACATTTGGGTACAAAATTATTGCAAGCCCTCAGCATGTCTCCCCATATATATAAGTGCCTGTGATCTGTCAAAATCCAATATGAAGTGCTAAAAAATGTCCAGAATTTTACACCTGTTGCAAAACTTAACACTATACTCTAGATTATCAATAATTCATGTTAAATATACTCATTTTATGAAAGTCACCAATTATAACTCTCATTTCAATAGTAAGGAGCATTCTAATTTTAAGAACTAAGAAAAAAAAAAAAGAACCCTTTAACATTTAAAGAGACAAACAAAAGTAAACCATGCTATCTACGGTACACATCACCCAAAAATGCTAAGTGTAAATCAAGTCCAAGACAGCTATAAACAGAAAAAGGTCCCTGTATACGGATTTGGAATCAGAAGACCTGGAAATAAAGAAGTGTCTGGACTACACAATTCCAAGCAAATCAAACAACTATCTGACTCTAACTGCATTCTTTGCAAAATGAAGACAAGAATAATAAAAGAATTATATATAATGCTTGGCTAAAGGTGGGACAAAATAGATTCTCAAATTCTTATCTAATAAAAACACTGCATTATTGACGCTTTTGTAAAGGTTGCAAACATAGTCCACTTACATATTTTTTGTATGAATTTTTCTAACATTGCATGCACAACCATCACATTGTTTTTGTTTGTTGATACTACATATTACAAAGGTGCTTTTTGCTCCCAAAAAGCCTACTTGTTAGGCATCAGTTCTTTTCCACTATAAATAGGCAATGCTTAATTATCTCACAAATGAAATTCAGGAAAAATGCATACTTACAAAGCAAACCCCCAGAATTCTGTGCTGCTGTCCCTTGAACTCAGTGCTTTTCTTAAGCACATATGCTTGCCTCCTTTCATTTCTTCATGAGGTTCAGGGCAAAAGGTCTAGTCGAACAGATGATCCTTGGTTCCCCCACACCTTCCCCAAACCACCTACAGATAAATGAAATAAGGGAGTATAACACTGTTATAACTTTAATTTTTTTAATTAAAAAAAAGAAGATTAGCTCAATTTCCCTTTATGAAGATTATTCCAGATTGCAGAACAGAGAAAATGCTCCTAGAGTCATCCAAAAGCCCAAATGGCCTCACTGGAATCTTCACATCCTAGTGCACAGCCAGCATATTCCTCCCAGTGTCTTGTATGCATGCCAGTCACCTGCTGATCTTGCTAGAATATAATGCAGTATAAATTTTAGCCCAAATCTGGTCAAAAGTACTGTCCAAGTATGTAAATCAGTTGGTAAACTAAGTATATAATGAAATGCTTTTTTTTTTTTTTTTTTAAAATTTTGGTACCAGGGAACCTACACTTGAACTCGGGACCTACACTTGCCAGGCAGCCAGCAGAATCACTGAGCTAAAACCCTGGGACTATAAAATTCATATTTAATGCCTGAATTTCATGCCTCAATTATATTTCTAAGCCAGCCTAAGCCTTTTAAGAGAAATGTGTTCTTCCCACTCATTTTTTAAAAAAGGTAAAATAAAGGTAACCAAAAATAGTATCTTTGGTTTTAGTAAAGAGCTGTGGACAGAAATATTCTCAATGTTTTGTGGCTGCTTTCAAGAGCCTGTAACAATGCACTGAAATTCATCCAGGACAATTATGGTTGTACATATACAGCAGATGCCGTACATCAATAAACCGTTTCTAGAAAGAAGATATTCTGCAAAAGTTAATCAAAATAAACTACTGAGGGCCGGGGATGTAGCTCAGTGGTGCCGCACCTGCCTGGCAAGCTCAAGGTCCTGAGTTCAATTCTCAGTACCAAAAAAAAGTCAAAATTTCAAAATAAACTGGTGAGACACTGGTTTTAAACAGTAGCAGAGAAGATACACTGAGAGGTACAGTGTGGTACACACTTCATTTTTCTACAAAAGCAGCAACGTTCTCCCCAAGACGGGTGACAGAAAAAATGAAATTTCTCAGTGACAATGTAAAACTGTCAAAGTTTTCATTTTCTGTCTGTGCTGTTCAATACAGTACTTACCAGCCTGTGGCTACTGAGCTCTAGAAATTTGGGCAGTTCAAATTGATATGTGTTATAAATGGGTAATACACATGAGATTTTGAAGATAGTACTACTAAAAAAAAAGAATTAAAACATCTCTAGGTTTTCTGTTTACTGCATGTTGGATGTATTCTTAATGTATTGTGCCCAACACTTACTAAAATAAATTCACCAGTTTCTTAATGTGGGTGCCACAAAATTCTACGTTATCTGTGTAGCTCACATTGTATTTCTACTAGATAACACTGTTCTGCATAATAAAATAAATTTTAACGCAGTAACAAATGCTGAGCAATTACAGTATTGCTTGAGGGCCAGTAGCTGTGGTTGTATAGGGGGCAAGGGTTCAGATACTTTACATAATACTTAGATGAAGGCTGCAAAGTATAATTATTTGGTTTTACTGGGTGTCTGAATAGCAGGAGAGGTCTGTCAAAACAGTAAAGAACGCGGCTAGGATTCAATGTCAGATATTCCTACACATAGTACAAGTAAGGAACTGACAGCTAAGGTTAGTCAAATGCTATATTGGCACAGGAAAAACAGGTGGCTGTTACAACATTCCCGGAGTTGCAAATTTTCGGTGACTTCAGAACAGGTACAAAACATATCAGTTTATATCCAAGGACAGGCAAGCAAATGCCAGAAGGTTCTCTGGAAGTACTACAGAAAGAGCCCAAACTCCTAGACAGCTAAAGTGCCGTAGGAACTGCTGGCAAGCTCTCCTCAAAGGGAGGACAGCGTAATTCAAATTGACTGGGTGATTTGCCCAGGACCTGCCTGTGAACACCCATTCCTAGGGAGAGAAGCAGACATGCCGTCTCCCCTAACCATGACACACACTTCACCCACCTTGCGCCCCACCCCAGATCTCCGCTCAGCTCTGGCATCCCCACCCTAGGAACAAGGGGAAGTAGGACCTAAAACGTCAAGATAGGGAAGTGGAGGAGAAAGGGCAAGGGGGCGGTGGGGGTATGTACCTGAGAAGGAAGGGGATCCCAGGTCCTTAAAGCCGGATCATCGCCGAGGCCCCAACCTGGCTCCCGCGGCTACCAGAGACCCAGGAGGTGCAAATAACCGGGCGCTGCGGCGCAACCGACTCGGCACTCCCAGACCCGCCGCTATGGCAACTTAAACTAGCCGCCCCGCCGCGGCCCGAGTGCTCGACGAGCTGCTGTCGCTCGGCCCCCTGGGAGCTGTAGTCCAGCTCTTCTCAAGAGCAAGGAGGTACCGAAGAGCGACGGTCAGAGAAAAACTGCATGTTCCGAGATGCCATGCGACAGGCCTTTGAACGACTCTCCCGGAAGAAGCGGGATTAGCGGGCTCCAGGTCCCTCGGAGGCGACCTCTGGTCTTACTCTATTTATTTTTTCTTAAAGGGCCAGTAGTTGTGGCTGTGTAGGAGGCAATTGCCAAGGAGAAAATGAATTATGATGCTTTCTTGCCCCTAACTGTAATTTTTTTTCTAAAGAAACAGGAAAAGAATATCCAACAATGAAACGTGAAACTCCTTTTAATACTAAGTTCCAATGCCTTGTTCCAGAGATTCAAATGCTTACAACTGGAGGGGAGCCAAGAAGATTAGTCAAAACTCTTAGACCTGGAGAGAATAAGTGACATGCCTAAGAGCATATGTTTCATTCATGGCAAACCAACTAGAGTGTAAAGCTGTTAATTAAGCACTACTGCCACCACTAGGGTGTCACCCCCTCACTCATTCTGGAACATGAAAGAAATATTTTCCACTGAACTCCACTGAAGTTACTTTTAGTCCTAAAGAGGAATAAAAACTTCAACAAAGAACTGAGTTTTGGAAAGCTAAGAATTATAAATTAGTCACAAGGGTAATTATTTTCATTCTACTCTGCCTAAAAAGCCACTGACTCCTCAGGCTAAAATCAAATTTCACCTTATCTGTGAAAGTATTACTGGTTACCTAAAGATCCTGGTTACCTAAAGCTCAGTCACTTTGATAAATGCAGGTTCCCTCTAAAAACAGTTTAGTACTGGAATGATCCATTTCCCAGTTCATCTCTATTAGCCCTTCAAACGAAGGAACATAACATTTTAAAATCTCACTTGTAAAAACTCTCCTAGCCCCCCATGCATGTGAGTGTGTCTGTGTGTATCTCTCTTTGTATCTCTCTCTATCTCATAAATTTGGACTCACATTTGATACAGAAGAATCACCCCCTAACATTTTTTTTCTGGCCAACACTAAGATATAAAGTCTATTCCATATTCAGTTTGAACGTAAAACTAATTCTAAAGACCTACGGGTATGTCTTTGAATCTATCTTCAAGAAGCTTGCTCAAATTCTTACTCTAGAATACACCCCACCTGACACAAAGGTTAAATTAATTTCAGAACAGCCATAAAATTGTCCCATAGGCAGCAGAGGCATAATAACTTTGTTCCTTAACATTTCAATTTTTCAAAAGAATTTTTGCATTCATTTAATTCATCAAATGTATGACGGATCTGTCTAGAATCTAGACATTATATTAGATACTGAACTTACACGGATAATGAGGAGATAGCATAGACTTTTCCTTCAATGTGCTAAGAGCCAAGTAAAACACTAATAAGTAAATTATTACAAAACTAGGAAACAGAACACAGCAATTGTTTCTGTGGATAAATATAAAAGAGAAACTTTCTCAGAAGAGATTCTGATTGACTGTCGGAAAAAAAAATGACTGCAAAAAGTTAATGTGACCTTGAGCTATAGCAATAAAATGTGATTATTGATGAACTCTTTTCACCGGTACAACCATATTTAGATAATTGGATTCAAGTGTGATAATTCCCCCCTTTTAAACCAAATAAATCAAAAATCAGAGGAAACAACTTGAATAAAGGACAGATAACCAAATTTGAGTTCATAATCACCAACAAATTTTAAATATATTATTAAGGTCAGAGCAGCAGTTTGTCATACAGTACACTCTCCATTGACAGATGCAACATTCCAAGAAAAATGGAGTGAATTCAGACCACAGAATCTCTCTCCTTAACTAAAAAAATTTTACCCAAAATTTCCCAAATGGTATTATTTTTCATTGATATAGCAGACATATGTTATCCAATCCAAACACTACAACCAAGCTTAGATATCTGAACTAAGAGGTACAAAAACTCGCAGTGATCATCAGTTGTACATCTTCTTTTGGAAGACTTGTAAATGGAAAGGTTATATATTAGTTATATATTATATATAAAGTTATATATTAGCTTACTAGGTCTGCCACTATGGCCCGAATTTGGGGTAATCCTGCTATCTCAGCCTCCCAAGGGTTAGGATTACAGGCGTGCATTACCACACCCAACTATCTTCCTTTCTTTTCATAAAGATAACAGTTACATTGGATTAGGGCTCCAAATTTATGGCTATAGTTAAAAGCCCTATCTTCAAGTTCAGTCACATTTGGGATTATGATTTCAACAAACGAATTTTAGAAGGATACATTTCAATCTATAACACATGTCTTCTCCCATATTGTATCCATTCAAGATTAGGGCCATCTGTGATCTTCCTTGTATACCATACCTTGATAGAGGTAGATGTGACAAATATTTTTACATAAATTGCCTGTATTTTTATATATCATACCCTTGACTTACCGATAGCTTGGGTTCACCTGAAGCCATATGTATAGATAGATAGATAGATAGATAGATAGCGTATATTTAGCTATATATATAGTGCCCCGATCTCTCTGACTATAGCTGATAACACAAGTAGACACCCAAAACACTATGAGCCTATCTTGCTCTTTATACTTTCAGAATTTAAAATTGAAACTCATGCTCCCAATTTGTTTCCTGAATAGTCTTGAAGAAACAGAACTTTTGAACTGCTTTCAAGAAGAATCTGAAGAAGCTAAACTGCAGAGAGAATAAAAATGAGCAAAGCAGCCAGAGTGAAGAGTGAAGCCACAGAGAAAATAAGCTAAGAAAACAGCCCAGGTTCCTTACACTTTTTTAAAGTTCCTAGCTCCAAATCCATGTTCGCTTTATGCATATTTCCTGTACTTGTTTACCATGATGCACTAAAAGAAACCAAAAGTGGTTAAATGCATGACTTCTGGGTTCAGAGCCCTTGGATTCAAATTTTAGCTTAAAATGTTTCAACTATGTGACCTCAAGCAAGTTTCCTAACACTCTAGGCCTTCATTTTAGCTTCTTCCAAACGTACTTCATGAGTAGAGTCACATGGGGAATAAAATACTCTTCATGAAGCCTTTATTCCAGCGTTCACAGTAAGCATTAAATGTATGTTAGCTTATGCTTTGTATCCTAAAATATTAGCTACGTAAAACTTGAGGCTTTATTTTGTTCTCCATGATTCAAGTAAAAAATATATTCTGCTTCTCTGTGAATATTTTCCTTGCAAAGTTTAAGAAACAAGACGTGATCAAAACATATAATGAATACATTTTTTAAATTTATTACAATAACAAACACGTTATCATCAATCCCCCTCAAGATACTGTCCATCACTTCACACACACTTATCCCTCATTCTTGCTACCTCCTGAAGCAGTTCTGAAAGTTCTCTCTGTTGAGTGTCTCTAGTTACTGGCTGCCTCAGTGTCCTGATGGTGTTTACCTTTCGGGGTCATTTTGACTCTGGGGAGGAGCCAGAAGTCCGATGGGGCCGATCTGGTGAAATAAGCGGAGAGGACACACTATAATGTTTTTAGGAATGAGGACCCACTGCCTTTCAGTTGCATGACACTCAGCAGCAACATTCACTACATGTTTTAATGACACCTTGTAAAGATGCTCAAGATACAGGACTTCCAGAACTGCTTCAGAAAATAGCAAGAATGAGGGACAAGTGTGCATGAAGCAAGAGAGAGTATCTTGAAGGGGATTGATGGCAATGTGTCTTTCAGTGTAATATATTTTTAAAATTTAAATATTCACCATATATTTTAATCGTATCTCATTAGCTTTGATGATTGAAATCCAGACGACCCTGCTGAAGAGTATTTTGATGAAGCTTACTGTTGCATCTGGAGACAGAGTTTAATGAAAGGAAGACACTTTCTTTGTAAAGAGTAAAAGGAGGGAGAAAAGAGATGATACATAGCTACCCTGACAAGAAACAATCAGCGTAGGGGGCTCCTGAAAGTGAAGGACCTTTCCTCTCCACCTGGAACTTGCCATAACTGTATTGGCTTCCAGGCACCTCTGCTTAATGTCATTCTTTTTCCTTTTTTTTTTTTTTTTTTTTTTTTTTTTTTTTTTTTATTTTTTGGTGGTCTATGTGCAGATCTTTTCTGTTTATTTACTTGTTCTTGACCTACATTTTAGTCTTTGGGGTGGGTAGCAAGTTGGCAAGGGTGCCTTATTCTTAGTTAGCTTAGAGTTAGTACGGGGGCATGTGGATATCTATTGTCCTCTATAATGACCCTAGATTGAATAATATAGTGACTGGAGAGTGAACGCACATGTATGTAAGTGTATATGTTAGTACATAAGTGTGAGTACACACTGCCTTAAAGGTAGCCCCCTCACATCCCCTTTATTTAATTGAAGGTAGGGGTGGTTTATCATTTGTGCACCTGGCTTTTCCTCTGTGGCATGCTTTTTCTGGTCTCTTGGTGCAAGTCCCGAGGTCATTCATTTGGTGCCTTTCTTTATCTGTTTTTTGTTGTTGTTGTTTTTTTTTTTTTCTCTCCTACCCATCTTTGACTTGCTTCCCAGGGAAATCTCTCTAGCAAAGTTTGTTTTTTAACTCCGTCTAGTCAGCATTCGCTAGAAGACCTAAGGAGGCCCTTTTAAAAATTTTTTTCATCTACAGATCCCTGTCCATACACTACCTGTGTAGGCTTTAAGATCTGAGGTACTAATTCCATATCGAGTTTATTGAGTGGTCTCATGGGAAATACTACTGAGTCACACCAAATAAATACTCTGGTGGGCTACTCAGTAAAGAAGTTCTGGGGGCTATGAGTGTAGCCCAGTGGGAAAGCACTTGCCTAGCAGGCACAAGACCTTATGTTTACTACCCAGCACCACAATATAATAAATAATAAAATCCTAAGTAGATTCTGGAATGGGGCTGGTCTGGAATGGATGAACATAGAGAAAGGAAGACAGCTATC